AACCTGTATTTGAACTCTAGCTCTGCTACTTTGTAGCTGTATAACCTTCAGTAGTAACTTAGCCTCTCTGTGCCTGTTCCTCCTCTGTACAGTGAGGCCTCTGACACTTGCCCCTTAGTTCTTGAGGGGCTTCAGTACCATAGAGTTTCTAGTGTGGCGGTAGGCGCATAGGAGTCCTCAGGACATGGCAGCAGTTTTTGTTACAAATTCCCATTCTCGGTGAGAATTTTGCAGAGGGGGTGGGGTGGATTTTTTCTGAGGGTCTAGGAAGAAGGCAGGACGATGTCAGAAGGCGGGTGCTAGGGGAAGACAGGACTGTCCCGACAGGGACGGAGCTGCCCCTGGGAGGCCACACAACCACATCTCCCCTTCCTCAGGCAGCTCCTCTCCTACATCACCAAGGACAAGCAGACGGAGAGCCTGGTGGAGAAGTTGTGTCAGCGCTTCCGCACTGCCCGGTATGCCGGCTTCCCAAGGGGTGTCCCTGAGGCTGTGGGGCACCGACGGGGAAGGACGGGCCTTCGCTCCTCCATCTCGCTTCTCCTCACGACGCCTTTGCCATCTGCAGGACCGAGCGGCAGTATCGGGACCTGGCCTACTGTGTGTCACAGCTGCCCCTCACAGAGCGAGGCCTCCGCAGGATGCTGGACAATTTTGACTGCTTTGGGGACAAACTGTCGGATGAGTCCATCTTTAGTGCTTTTTTGTCAGTTGTGGGCAAAGTGCGACGCGGAGCCAAGCCCGAGGGCAAGGTGAGCGCAGCGGCCATCCCGGTGCCATGAGTTCATCTGCATTGCACTGCCCGGACCTGCCTCGCCTACCCCGCCCGTTCCCCTCCCTCGGCTCGACTGCAGCGAAGTAACCAGCACCACCTGAGACCAGATCTTTCTGACTCCAATTCCTGTGTCTTTCTTTTTCTCTTTTTTAAAATGGACTTTATCTTTTAGAGCAGTTTTAGGTTCAAAAGTAAATACTGAGTTGAAGGTAGAGTTCTTCCACATGTGCCCAGCCACCACCC